TAAGGAGGCGCGGGCGCGAGCCCTGCCACCTCCCCCCCGCAATGTCCCCCGTAGAAGAGGGCGGCAGCAGGCGCGGAGGCGGGGAGCGGGGTGGCGATGGCGGGGTCGCAGGCGGCTGCTGCTGGTGCTGGCGCTCGCGACCGGTGCTCGCGCATGTCGCTGGCGCTGACGCTGGCGGTGGCGCTGGTGACCGGCGCTGGCGCTGGCGCTGGTGCTGGCGCTCGCGACAGTCGCTGGCGCTGGCGCACGTCGCTGGTGCTGGCGCTGGCGTTCGCGACGGTCGGAGGCGCTGGCGCTGGCGTCCGCGACCAGCGGCGGGGCGACGCGACAGTGCGCGGGACGGGGCGACCAGCGCGTGGGGCGGGTAGCACGGGGCGAGCAGTGCGGGGCAGGCACCGGGCGAGCGCCTCGAAGGGCGCTGCAACGATCGCCATGGCAACGAGGGCAGCCATGGCGAAATAAAATTAACGAGGTCCTTAAGAACGGACCTGCTCTGATATCATCTCAAAGTTAAGGAGGTACTTAGGTTTAGGATGCCTAGGCAAGGAGGGTATCGAGTGGGTTGTGCCAAAGGATAGCGAGAATGGAGGGGTTTCACTATAGAATGTTGTGAACATATAGGTGAGAGAGAGGGTGCACCACCAACTGATACAAATGCTATCTACACTACACTACTGTAGGCAGTTATACAAAATGTATACAAACATATTTGACAGTCTGGTGCGTCTTGTGCAGTGCGGTGTTGGCGGTACAGTGGCAGAGTAAGTCTTTCGTAGAAGATGCAGTCATGTGAACGCGTGAGCTGGTGGGTGGCGAAGTCCAGGATTGTCCAGGCGTGGTATTCGGATTCGATTCCGAGGTGAATGCCCCAACGAGCGCGGTCCTCAAATTTTCCGGTTCGGGCAGTGTGGGGGCGGTACTGTACCATACACCCGAAGACTCGCAGCATGCGTGTGTCAGGGTGTTTTCCGGTCCACTCCTTGAAGGGTGAGCTGTTGTTGGGCAGTGCCTTCGAGGAGAGCAAGTTGTGCAGTCGAACTGCATGCGCCATCGCGAAGGGCCAATACTTGGTTGGCACAGCCGACTGCTTCATGAGGGCTCGCATTTTTGTCGCGAGGCTCCTGTTGGTTCTCTCGGCCAATCCCTGCTGTTCGTGGGCGTAAGGCAGAGAGATCATCCTCTTGATCCCCCTTTGCTTGCATAGGGTTTTGAAGTCGTCCGACATGTACTCCAGGGCTCCGTCTGTCTGGAACGCCTTCAGTTTGTAGCCATCACTTTGATTCTCTGCCATGGCGAGCCAGACTTCAAAGCAGTAGTAGGCGAGATAGCGGTCCTTGACGTTCACAGCCCAGACGAAGCGTGTGCCGGCGTCGATGAAGGTAAGAGTGTACTGCTCCCCTCCGACTCCTTTCGCCGTGAGCACCAGGAAGTCGCTGTAAACCTTCTCCAGCGGTTTGTATCGTTCGGCTCCAGGAATCTTTTCGGCGAAGGGTGTGTGACGGAGTGCGGCTGCCGGACAGACGGTGCAGTTGGGTAAGTCGGTTCGTGGTTTCAGCAGCTTTCCATCGGGCAGCAATAGTGCGTCTGCCGCAAAAACATTTGCGTTGATGCAGTTGTTGAGCACTTAGATTGATGGGTTTCCCATGCGTTGATGCCAGATGTCTCCGTCGGCCCGATATCCCTTGGTGCGCGCGTACAGCTCCTCTCGTGCTAATATCCCCTCGGGTGTTTCTTGCCTTGTTTTATCCGCAGGTTCGTCGGGCACGGCGACTTGTACTGCCGCTGCTTGAATTGTCGTGCCTTGATACGTTCCGCTGGTGTCGCCGATGGTGATGGTGTCGATCATCGTGTGCAGCTCCAGTGGCCTGTCGGGAGGCGGGGGCGAAGTCCGTGCTCCGGACCTCCGCCTCGACAGTTCCCAACCTCGGCGCTTGGCCCGTAGCGCACCCCATTTTCATCAAATTACCGTTACCACTCTAGCTTCGCTATATATTCTTCGCTCATGCCTTCGCTCGATGTACTGTTTTGCTTCGATAGTGCAATTCTAGCTAGCTCCCTCAATTGCACTCTTAACAAATAGCTACCTTTTACTACACCTGGCAATGGAATGGAAGACCTCGCGTATGACGAACAATGGACAGTACCTATGCCACCCACCACTGTTACAAATGCCATATGTACTCACAAATGCAACACCCAATCCCGTGCGACTCGGCAGAAATTCGGACTTGAAATGACATCCAATTGATGTTCAGTCCCTATTCAGAATTTCGGACTTCGCTGAGTTCATTTCGCCACACACGAAACACGTGTTACATGAATCTGTAGCGAGTGAAGCAAAAGGTTTGAGTTTTCTTGTGGGGCTGCCAAGTGGCGCCCTCACAAGAATTCGGACCCGGCCGGGGTGAACTTCGCACTGTAGTGATGCGTACCACCTCGCCGAAGACACTTGTTTTTCCGCAAGACCTCCTTGGTCCGAGTCAAAGTAAAGATTCGGTGCAAGGGACCAAGGACGTGTATTTCGATTCCCGCTGGACGAGTACTACAGGTCTCGGATGGGGTTATAGCTGTGGTCGTCTGTAGTGCAAAGCTCTTTCCCGCCTTCGTTGCATGCTCACAGCAAGTCTCATCCATCTTCCTCCAACGTCGTGGTGAGCATGTCTGATGATAATGGTTGTTACCTGCATCATTATCAGTCACGTATCACTCCAAACTGCAGGCATTTTCTCTGATTGTCGAATGAATTTCATGTTTTCTTTTGTCCTCCACAGTGAAAATCGTTCAAACATGGGCGACACTCCTGCTCTTGTGTGCGACAATGGATCCAGTACGGTGAAGGTCAGTAGCATTGGCATTATCTATCAACAATGCTCGTGATTTCCTTTTAATGCACTGTGAGCATTACATTCCAGACCGGATTCGCTGGAGATGATTCGCCATGTGATGAATACCCCAGCATTGTTGGTCGAGGAATGGAAGGGAATGCTTACGTTGGTGATGAAGCCGTTTCCAAGCGTGAAATTTTGATGCTGAAGCATCCTATTGATCGCGGTGAGATTACCTGCTGAATGAGATTGCGCACAACTTTTATTTTTTCTCGCTTGTGACCTTCGCGCGTTTTTGCATTCCAGGTATTGTGGCCAACTGGGATGACATGGTAAGGATTTGGGACTACAACTTCACAAATGTGCTTCGTGTCAATCCCGAGGAGCATCCGGTGCTGATGACCGAAGCTCCTTTGAATCCTGCTGCAAATCGCGAGAAGATGGCGGAGGTTTTGTTTGAGACTTTCAACGTGCATTCAATGTATGTCGCCATTCAGGCTGTGCTCGCCCTGTTCGCAACCGGTCGCATCACTGGTAAGTTTCTGTGCCTCTGCGCAGTCGCATTTGCAACTTGTTTTTTCTGCTGCTAATATCCTCTTTGGTTTCAGGCATTGTTCTGGACTCCGGTGATGGCGTGACCCACGCTGTCCCCATCTTCGAGGGTCACGCTCTACCGCACGCGGTTCTCCGTTTGGATCTTGCCGGTCTTGATTTGACTGAGTACCTGGTTTCGATGTTGAGTGAGAAGGGTTACGCCTTGGCTGCATCTGCCGAACGGCATATTGTGAGGAGCATCAAGGAGACGCTCGCAGTTGTTGCTCTTGACTTTGACAGTGAGATAGCTTCACTTGCAACGTCTGATTTGGAGAAGAATTATGAGCTTCCTGATGGCCAGGCGATTATCGTTGATTCTGAGCATTTTAGGTGCCCAGAAGCGCTCTTCAACCCGTCGTTGGCTGGCAAGGAAGGCTCGGGTATTCATGAGTTGTGCTACAACAGCATCATGAAGAGTGACATCAATATCAGGTAGGATCTGTACAGCAACATTGTTCTCAGCGGTGGTACCACTCTCTTCCCTGGGATTGCTAATCGTGTGACCAAGGAAGTTATTAAGATAGCTCAACTTACGAGGAAGGTTGAGCTGATTGCTGCACCTGAACGGAAGTACACTGCTTGGATCGGTGGATCCATCTTAGCGTCTCTGTCCACCTTTCAACAGGTATGCCTCGCTTTTTCTATGCTTTTATGCCTTTCCTTGTTCTTTGCTGACTTAACTTTGGTGATGCAGATGTGTATTTCCAAGGAGGAGTACGATGAGGTTAATGCATTTGTTGTTCAGCTGAAGTGCTTCTAGTACCCTAGTATGAAGTTGACAGTTTTCTACAAGATTATTCCCAACCAAAGTTAGGAAGGTTGAGGCAGTTTTGGGCTGTTTGGGACTCCGGTTTTAATGACTGCTGGCTAGTTTTGAGGATTTTACGTATTAGTTACCGTAATTCCCTGTGGTGCAGACCCCAGGTGCGGTCAAATTTTGTAAAAAAGGCACTACCGTATTTTGAAATGTCTCCAGTGCAGCCTTCTGTAATATTCAAGGATAATTTTATATGATTGTGTCTATACGTGGTGTCATACCTCTGTGCTCGGTGCCTATATATAAGCGGTACGTTCCAGTGCAGCAATGTCCAGCTCGTACGTGACATTACATGCTCTGGTGGCTGTCACATGCGCGACGGAAGTGATGATTCTCACTGGGCATATTCGATTCCACCGGAAGATGAATATAGATGAATATTCAAGTTGTGAATACTAGTCTTGCTTGTTAATTATGTATGACATTAAACAGTGCTGACAACAAGCTGTTTTGCAAGGAAGAGGTCGTGCAAGTATAGGGCCAGCTGGTGTCAGCACCGCCAAAGGAAGAGCCTTCTGCACAGGCCGTGCGTCAGGTGGCAGATGATGCTGCTGCTGGGGTTGCTGGTGGCAGTGGTGGTGGAGTTTGGTTGGCAAGGCGGGCGGTTGGTTGGAGGCCGGGCATGCAGTAGAGAGGTGCTCGTGGAACTCAAAGAGCGCGGCTTGGTAGTCGAGGCAGTTGCTGAGGCGCGAGAGGAAAAAGGGGCCGTTGGCCGATAAGTCAAACTCTATTAAGGTGAAGATTTCCAGAGCGAGGGAGAATATCTACTGGCGGGAGAAAAGGGCAGGACATAACGGGAATCCGGAGGGGAGATGTCCGGGGCCAGCGACGCTATCCACTGGCGGGACAGGAAAGGCAGCGCACAAGGGACATCCTGCTTTTGGATCTTCGCCCCTGCATGATCCGTTGCTTGTCCCACTCCTGCTCCTGCTGTTTGCACGCCTCTTGTGCTGTACATGCTTCCCCTGCTGCTGCTGCTCCAGCAACTGCTTCCTCTGAGAAAGAGAACTCACCAGAGCCGTTGCTGCAGTGGCTGCAGCTGCTGGTGCAGGCAGCAGGACGCGCAGTGAGCGAACAGCACAAGGGGGTGTTGTGAGGAACGCACATATTGAAAGCAAGGGAGAGAGCGGACGTGGTGACGGCAGTGGGAGGGGAGGGGCGAGAGGAGCGGGAGAGAGTGTGCAGGATGGCAGAATAGGCGGTGGTGTAGAGGAAGGTGACGAAAGGGTGCGGTGGTGAAATACACATGGCGCGACTGCTGCATGCCCTGGGATGCAAAGGGGGAAGAGAGCAGGGAGACGGGTTAATCATGTGGTGGGTGGGACACGGGACAAGGAGTTGGGTCGAGAGAGAAGAGTGAGTGAGATGGCAGGAGTTGAGAAGGGAGTGAGGCAGACAAAGGGGAAGGTAGAGGAAGGGGGTGATGGGACGGAGAGAGGGAGGTTTAGGTGAGTGGTTTAAGGAAGAATTAGGTAGGGTTGAATGCGAAAACAGAATGTTGGGCTGCTGGCATTGGAGAGGCGGGGGAGGAGAGGGCAAGGGAAAGAGGAGAGCACGGGGAGGGAGCAGAGGTGGAGAGGACAAGGACTGTTTGTTGAGAAAGGAGTATTGAAGACGCCTCACATCCCAGCCTAACAACCACAAAAAACTCTCCCCTCCCCATCCCCCATATTTTCACCGGCAAACGCCCCCTCTTTTCACACCCCCTGCACCTCACCTCCGCTACCCAGCCTGGTAATGATTGACACGCTGATCCCAAGTGCATGGGAGGCAAACCTGCAACCGCACCCAGTAGCCACACCACAAGTGCACTCGGCAATTGGTAGTGGGGGCTGGGTAGCTGGAGCCCGCGCAATGTTAAAGAGGTGGTGCGGGGGAGGGGAGTACCGGGGAGGAGAAGGCGGTGTTGTAGAGGCGGAGGGCGCCCGTGCCGTGCAAGCGGGTGGTGAGCGCGTCCAGGAAGCAGTGCGCCACTCGCTGCCCCGCCCGCCCTCCGCACTCACTGCTGCTGCCACGCGCGCCCGCAGCCCTGCCATGCGGTCCTGGGCGAGTATGGGTGTGGGTGGGGGGCGTAAAAGGTGTGAAAGGAATATGATATTTCCTGCCATTGGGAAGGGGGTGTGGTTGAGAATCGGGAAAGATGGGTTGTAAATGGGGGACCGACAGACTCTCTCTGCCTGAAGCACAAGGGAGCGCTTGAGAGGAAGCGCGTGCATACCGACCTGCAGCAATAGAGGGCACCGCAGCAGGTGGAGTGCAGGGCGGCAAAGGAGTTGTGTGGGGCAGCGAGTACAACAGCAGCGAGGGCGAGGAGGAACGGATCCATTTCTTGTGACAGGCCGTCCGGATCCGAGCCTGCCAGGACACCTGGGATGCGGACGGCATTGCAGGTGCAGCGGCTCCTGACGCAGCAGCGGCAACACTAGTGGTGGGCATAGGAGGGAAGGCAGCTGCTGCAGTGGGAGCAGCAGGGTGCTGAGTGCTGAGTGTTGTGGAGGGGTGGACCTGCCATGCTACTCGCTCTGCTGCTGTGTGCTCCATTGCCGCTTCCCGGCTCTGCACTGCCCGACGCTTGCTGCCTGGCTCCTCTCCACGCGCGCCCACTGTGCCGCCGTCATCCCAGCTATTCCGCAGGGCGAACGAGAGCACAACACCAGCCCCACCACGACCCCTGTAAGCCTACCCCCATCGCCACCGTCTGTGCCTTGCGCATGCGCGCCCAAGCCATTCTCTTGGCCCCCCTCGAACCCACGCTCCAGGCCATTCGTTAGCCCTCCCTGCGCGCAAATCACTAGATCACATGCCCGACTATGCCCAGGCCAGGCCTCGCGCCTGCCCGCCTCGCATGTCCAGCAGCTCGCCCATTTGCTGTCCCGCCCACATACAACCAGTACCAGCACCAGGAAAATCATCATCAGCAGCAGCAGCAGCAGCAGCAAGAAAATCAGCAGCAGAAGCAACAACATTGCCACTTGCACTTTCTTCGCTCCGCTCCATGCTTGTCGCACACTTCCCACATCACTGCCTCCACATGCGCCGCACAAAAGAGACCCGCGTGTCGCAACACTCCTCCAGTTCAGCCACGCCTTGGCTAATTATCCGCGCGCCTTGCAGTGGCGAGTCATGATCGCGGCCCGCTGCACAGGCGGATGGGCAAGGCGCTGTCCCCACATCGCCTCCCCCGCACACCGGATCCGCGAGCAGCAGGCTGCCGAGGAAAGCGTCGGTGGGGCCGTCAGAACGACCGCCATTGACCCCCGCCATACACGCTGCAGCCTTGTCGTGAATCGTCTGCGGCTCCAACGATCTGAAAGAATCCCTCGATTTCAACGACTCCCCATGCCGCGGCGACATAGGGTTTGCCTGTGCCGCTGCTGTCGTCATAGCACCACTGCCAACCAAATCTGGCGCTGCGGCCAAAAAGCGAGCAGCAGCGCTGGCAGTAACGAAAATGGGCGTGGCAAGATCGGCGATGGAGGCTGCAGGTGTAGAGTACAGCGTGGCGTTGGGGGAAAATGGTGCGGACAACAACTGACGAGAGAGTTGATCCGGCTGGGGCTGCTGGTGGTGCATTAAGAGTCGCGCGAATCGTTGCTGCCGATGGGAGTCCCGTCCGACTGCGAGCCGTCCGTGATGGCATCCAGAAGGTTCAATAACTACTCTCCACGAATATATCAAGCGACGGTATTTCGTCGCGCAACGTCGCATTGCTCCACCGGAAATTTGTCAGGATCGTAGACGCCTCAGTCGACAAAAGTCTGCTTGCTATTATTGATGACGTTCTCCTCGTTCTCACGATTCCAACGATATGCGCAGCGGTTAATTCTGTCAACGTTTCACTAAAGTTTGACTGTTTTCTCTCTCACCAATGCTTGACTGGCGCTTCACTTGCGCTCTGCAGAGGAATTCGGTTCGCGATTCCTTCACTAGCGAATGCTTTCGCGGAGATTTGAGTGAGATTCCACTGAACAATCAGAAATGTGCACTGTTGGACTTGAATCTTGCCCTTCAAAATAGAATTGTGCCAAGGTTGTATTTCCACACAACTACAACAAACTTATACTACCCCCAATGCACACAAGTACCCCAAACCAAAAAACGTGTCACACAAGCGAACTCGTAGTAACCAAACTTGTCCCACCCGCCAAGTGTCACGTCGAGTCGCACACGCAACCCCAACACTTTCGTTGAACACTCCCCAAGTCCGAAAGTCAGAAACTTGTTGAACACGCTATCTATTCAACCCCAATTCTTTCCCCGTCAAACCAACTCTTCTCCCCTAGTCATTTCACTTGTAAAACAGATTAGTTGCGACTACTGGAGGGCTGGAAAATTGGCTGGAAAGTCTTAGCAGGGCTACTGGAATTGGCTGGATGAGGTAAAACTTCACTATGCTCAAGATTGTACAAGCCCACTAAGGCACAACTCTTTAAAACCAGGGTACACATTCAACGCGACTCCAGGCTAAATTTTGGGCGGCATGTTTGCGGGAACTGCTGATTGGTTGACGAGTAGCGAATAAATAGTTGAGAATGGGCGAGCATGGGGCTTTTCGTCCGTGAGAGATGAGGCTTGGCAGGGGAGAAATTGATAACACTTGGATCTAGAAATTGGGGATCAAGGGGAGGGCAACTGGGTTGGCGGAAAGGGGAAAGGGGGTGAGACTATATTGTGGGGGAAGGGGAAACAATTTCGGTGGGAGCGGAATAGGTATGGGGAGGGGGGAAACGAATTGGCGGAAGCACATTCGATGACTTCGGTTTACATTTGCCAAATCTCGAGGGTTCAAATGTTCACCTGCTGAAGCGAACACTCCCCCCAGATATTCCTAAATCACTGAGTAACCCCGAGGTCAAAGGTTAACCTTTGACAGAAATCCAATTGAATGTGCACCCTGGTTTTAAAACCGGGGTGCACATTCAGCTGAATGTGCATCAAAGGTTATCCCTTGACTGAGTGGGTTACGAGGTGTGCTTTCAACCCCTTCAAGTCGAAATTCGTTTCCCCCCTCCCCCGCAATTTCGTTTCCCCACGCCCCCGCAATTTCATTTCCCCCTCCCCGTCGAAATTCGTTTCCCCCCTCCCCCGCAATTTTGTTTCCCCCCTCCCCCGCAATTTCGTTTCCCCCCCCTCCCGCCAATCTGTTTCATCCCTCCCGCCATTCGGTTTCACCCACTCCCGCCATTTCACCCCCTCCCGCCACCTACGAAATGCCCGAAGCTCTAGCGGAATCATTTTTTTGTCGCCCCTCGTGAGCCAATCACTGTTTTTCTCCAAACCCCCTTCCCAACATCTCAAGCCGAACCGCGTTGAATGTGCACCCTGGTTTTAAAACCAGGGTGCACATTCAATTGGATTTCTGTCAAAGGTTAACCTTTGACCTCGGGGTTACTCAGTGATTTAGGAATATCTAGGGGGAGTGTTCGCTTCAGCAGGTGAACATTTGAACCCTCGAGATTTGGCAAATGTAAACCGAAGTCATCGAATGTGCTTCCGCCAATTCGTTTCCCCCCTCCCCATACCTATTCCGCTCCCACCGAAATTGTTTCCCCTTCCCCCACAATATCGTCTCACCCCCTTTCCCCTTTCCGCCAACCCAGTTGCCCTCCCCTTGATCCCCAATTTCTAGATCCAAGTGTTATCAATTTCTCCCCTGCCAAGCCTCATCTCTCACGGACGAAAAGCCCCATGCTCGCCCATTCTCAACTATTTATTCGCTACTCGTCAACCAATCAGCAGTTCCCGCAAACATGCCGCCCAAAATTTAGCCTGGAGTCGCGTTGAATGTGTACCCTGGTTTTAAGCATCACAAACAAAGTCAGATAGGTAGCTCAAACTTGGCTGCTAGACAAGGCAACTTGAGTGACTTTGAGAGCCACATGAGGTGCATGAATAAGAAGGCTCTGGAATTCTCTGATATAGCTGATTTTGGATTGTAGAAACCTGTAGAAAGCGTTAACACTTCGGCTGAAAGTGAATCCGAACTGTAAAGAGACTTTGGCTGAAATCTGATTGGTTGCGGAAGTTTCTGAATATTTCGCGAAGCCTTGACTCCGTTGCCGCCATTCCCCCCTTGCTGCTCCTTGTGTGCAAAGGGCTGGGGCGGCAGAAACTCGCTTCTCCAACAATTTCTTCACCAATCTTCCTTCCATTTCACTCAGAATTCTTCCCGTATCTTCCACTTCCGTAGCTCACACGCCAAGCAACTTTAGGAGCTTCTTAGTTTCTTCTCTTTGCTTCCTCCACACGCCACCGTGAAGTTTCCGCCGTAGGTCCGAATTCAGCCGTCGCGTAGTGTGGTTCCACGAAGCACCTCTAACAGAATTGGCTGCAGCGCGCGCCAAATACGGGCGCCATTGCGAAAAAGGACTTGCTTCCAGGTTGCGGGAAACTTGCAAAAATGTTACTTCTAAGAAACCTGCCTCCCGCAACTTTCCAGTGATGGTCGAATGTTGCAGAAATCCGAGTCACTTGAAAGTTGCAAAAAAATTGCATTTCTGCAACACAACCGCAACTTAGCGGACACTCGTTGGATACTTTGAGTATACATTTCAGTCGGGCCAACATCATAGACATGCAAATTAGTATGGTAACCCTATCCAATGGTATGCAAAACCGTCTTACCTCAGTTTTGGAGGTATTGACATGCTGCCCTAGTAACGCGTTTGATTTTAATTCAAAAACGGATCCTTACCGCGCTTGCCTTCGCACTAAGACGTGATTTCTTCGAGCCAAGAAAAAAATAAACCCCAATTGGAACGGGATGCGTCAGGGAGGCATCAACCCTAACAACAATGTCCTTTCCCCTGTTTAGGGTTTATCCCTCCCAGAAATGCATCCAGGTCCCTAGGGTTTTTATTGTTTTTTAGCCCTGCCCTAACACTTCCGGGAAGCAATATATTGGGTGCAATAAATTGTTACAAAATGGACCCCATATAATTTTCTATAGTCATATGCTTGTTCCCCACCTCAGCGACTTACCACTCGCGGGGCTTCACCACCACTTGTAACATAGCCTTGAATGTGCTTGATAGCTTCTGGGTATTGATGAAACACCTGCAAATGAAAGGTAACAACGACTCACCACCACGCGACTCTGTACATGGGAGGGGTGGAAAATAAGAGGGGAAAGATTTTCAAGTGAGAAGATAGAGGTGCAAAGAATTTTGCATTAAGTGGTATGAGCTATACTCGGTAGCTATACTGGGTGATAAGATACCCTGATGAATAGGTATGTTGTTCTCTGGGAGACGCTAGTTGACGCATGAGAAGACAGAGGCACGAGCTGTAGGCGAAAATGGAAGAAGCAAAGAAAGTTGTGAGTGAATGAGGTAGGCGACGGGTGGTTGTACGGGAGAGAATCAAGCACATTGTGAGGTTAAAAATTATAGATGCTTCTAGAGCTTGCGGATGTGCTGATGTGTCGTCTTGGAATGCCGTCGATTTCTAATGTATGCAAGAACAGAGCAGTAATTGGTTAGTAAAAAATCAGTAGGTTCGACTACGACGGTTCGGTAAGCTAAGCCTTGGTCCGAAGAAGCCACGTCATTTCACGAAATCTGAACACTTAGCACTGATTGGGCGCGACTGTAAACCCGTGTGCCAGTTGCCAGTTCCGATTCCTGTTTGCACCTTGGCGAGCCTCTTTCCGTTTTGTATCCACGTTACTATGCTCGCAACTTTCGAGAAAGCGAACCTAATTCGTGCGAAGTGTTCATCATTCAGACACCAAAAGTTTCACAGCAAGGAAGACTCCCAAGGTTTGGTCGTGACCAGATGTACTGTTCGGTGCTGAGTTTTCGAATTTCATGCTAGAAATGCGCGGCTCGGGTAACCCACGTATCCAAAATGCACGCCTCGGGTAACCCACGAATCCAAAATGCGCGGCTAGGGAGGCGGGTACTTAGCATCAGACATGCAGGTTGCAGAATTGACTTGGTGTTTTTCTGATACTTTTCTGCAACTTTCCGTATACTTTCCTGCAGACTTCATACTTAAACTCGGTTTTCGGCCAAAACCTTTTCCGCGATGGCGTGCTGAGCCACGGCGACGCCAGCAACCTTCGTGCGATCCGTGCGACCGCTGTGAGGCCTCTGGGCAACCTCCGTGCGACCTATGTGCGACCTATGTGCAAACTATGGGCAGCCACGGAATGGCGGCTAAAACGATCCGCGACGTCGTTCTACTAGCCGGCCTCGCTTGACCCATTCTGGTTACAACGCCGAATGGGCATGAGGGGACGGCGTGCACTCAACGCCACCGGTTGGAATTCGAATGGGCGTTGGAGTTCGATTTCGAGTCAAATTATGTGGCAACGCCACTCCATGCGTTCCTCGGATCCCTCGAACCCACAC